TCCGGATTGCCGTTGCCGTGTGTCTGCAGTCCCCTGCACTAACACGCGTTTCCAGCCGTTTGTATATTGTATATATCCCGTTCCTTTCTAACATGTTGTCACCGCTGTCCACCCGTGGCAGGTCATGCGGTATGGGCTCCACTTAGTCGACAGCGAGGGCCCTATTAACACACGGACGCGACGTACGAACGCCGCAGCAACACGTCACCACGACGGATGTCGTGCCAGTACACCGTCCTGCCGCCTATGCGGCGGTGCTAGCTGCTGCCGATCGCGCGCTTATGCAGGCACCGCGGCTTCTGCCATTCACCATGCACTCGACAGGTATGCTCCCGGCCCGACTTCCGCCCCCTTTCGGTCCTCGTCGTGACCGTACTAGTACCCGCCCCCATGTCACTCCATGTTATATGATTGCACCCACGCTATTCCGTCTGACCGTCTGACTGCCTGTCATCCCTTCCGGATTGCCGCTGCCGTGTGTCTGCAGTCCCCTTCGCTGACACATCCGGAACCACGGATCTTACCGTTCGTCCGTCCCTTCCAAATGCATCTTGCCTGCAGCGGCTCTAGTGTGTATGGCAGGTGTGTATGTGTTCACATGGGCCTAGCGGATACACTCTGTTTGGTCTACACGGAAGGCCCGATTCGCACGCGCATAGCAAAGGCCTGCCGCTGCCATGATGACAATGATGCTCGCACCAACACGTGGTATTATTATGGTACGCTACCGATGCACGCAAAACTCCCTCCCCCCCGCCCCCCGAAGCCACACACACTCACGCGGGCACGCACACCTGCGGCTGTCTACTATGCGGTCCTTCTGCATCGAAGTCGTACCGGGTCAGTAATCCGGTAAGGTCCGGACCCGGACGGTGTGCACCCGAGTCTTTGATCCAGAATGACTGCACAGCAGGTCGGTGTGGTGTACCCCGGTGTGGTGTATATGTGCTGCACTGTATCAGTCCCGTACCACAATAACACCACTGCATACCTAATTAACGCTGACCGTTGAGCCGGTGGTCTTGTTATGCTACGGTACCTGTCCATGCAATCCTCCCCGTCCCCCCCCCCCCGCCCACCACCACACACGCATACCTGCGGGTGGCTGCTGTCCACTCCTTCTGGATCCAAGTCGTACGGGGTCAGTAACCCGGTAGGACTTGCATCCAGAAGGCGTGCACAGCAGCCATTCGCAGGTGGGTGTGGTGGTGTGTGTGTGTGTGATGGGCTGCATCGGTGCCGTACCAAATTAACACCGCTACCTCAGCGGACAACACAAGTGTTCGTGCACCGTGCGCTTTCACCTGCGCTACCTTGTGTACTTGTGCGGCGAACGTCGGCGTCTAATCGTTAGTCGTCTAGTCGTTAGTCGTACGCCACACGGTCGTTATCGTCTGCGAAGCTGGCGCTGCTTAAGTAGGCTGTACAGTCCCCGACGCAGATGGTGACTGTATTTAATATTAAACTGTGTAGAACATTTAGAATTTAACGTTGATAACACCGCTGCCTCAGCGGACGGTACACACGTTCGTGCACCGTGCACTCTTCAATGCACCATCGTTTCTGCTCTGACATACGCCGACGCATAACTTCCTCTCTTATGTTCTGCCCTGTCACTGTCCTCGTTTCGAACCACGACCCTCGAAATTCTAGGACCGGCACAAGGTCTACAGTCTCCGACGCTGCTGCAGGCGATTCTACGATTTCGTTGGTCGAGGTTCGACACGATGACGGGGCATAACAGGTTATGCATCGACGCATGTCATGGCATACACCGGCAAGCCTACATACACTTTGCAATCGTACATAACAATGCCTACGTGGTACACCAACAGCGGTGTCGTCACATAGCTATTTAACCGCTGAGCCGGTGGTGTTATTATGGCACGCTACTGCTGCACGCAAAACTCCCCCCCCGACACCACACACACTCACACGGCCACACGCACCTGCTGCTGGCTGCTATGCGGTCCTTCTGAATCCAAGTCATACCTGGTCAGTAACCCAGTAAGACGCGGATCCGCAAGGTGTGGACCCAAGTCTTACCTGGTTACTGACCCGGTATGACTTTGATCCACAACGACTGGACAGCAGGGCGGTGTGGTGTAGCCCGGTGTACTACTGTGTGTGTACATATGACATGCTGCATCGCTACCGTACCATGATAACACCACTGCCTCGCCGGACAGCACGACTGTCCCTGCTCCGTGCGCCTTTGACTGCCCTACTTTGCTTACTTGTTGAGGCGGTGGTAACTGCGCTGTTGCCCGTTGTACTCATGCTGCCGCCTCGACTTGGATGCGGCTTCCAACTGGAGATGAAGGAGCGGCGGCCAGACTCCCGGTCATGGCGGCTGGGCGGTACACAGCACCTATTGCTGCCACGTTGGTTGGCCGTGTTGGTGTTCGGCGTGTTGGTCGTCAGCATCGTTGCCAACGTCATGGTGGCGGTGGCGGCTGGGCAAGATTGTCCGCTGTAGCACTTCGCCTCCACGGCTCGCCTTCAGCTTGATATCTTCATATGCCATGAAGGCCGAAATATTACTGGCGTACGAAAATATCACATCGGTGTGATATCTTCGTATGTCATGCATTCCTCGGCATTCCTGGCCTACGAAGATATCCAACCAAAAGCAAGCCGTGCGCCTAAACTGCTGCAGCGGACGATCCTGCCCAACCCCCACCGCCGCCATGACGTTGGCAGCTATGACCAACGCACCGAACACCAACACGGCCACACAACGTGGCAGCGATATCTCCCGCACGCCTCTGCACGTATTGTACGGCATACCTGCGCTATCCTGCGTACTTGTGCGGCGAACGTCAACGTCTAAGCAGTCGTATGCAGCGTACACCACATGGTCACTATCATCTGCGAAGTACTCGTCATAGTTCGGTAACTGCTGCATGACAGCGACGACTTCTTCGGCACCGCCAGCTTCTCACACAATACTCATCGTGTGGTGTACACTGCTTACAAGATTGCCGCACTCAACACCATCCACTGCCTGGTGTACTCACGCGTCATGACGACAACGATGCTCCCCTTCGTGCATCCCTTGCACTTGTGAGTTCGACTCCCACACGGGTGTAGTACACGCACGGACCGTCGTACTCCTGCCGCCCAGCCGGGGGACTACGGCCCCCTCGCGGGCGACGCAGCCCGCGTCTAGTCGTTCCGTCGTCGGGACGGAGACCTTACCCCAGCTTAACGTCCGTCTGTCCGTCCGTCCGTCTGGTCGAGCCTCTGGAGAGTTGGCCTTTTTCGCCGTGTCGTTCGCGGTTTCGGAGCTGCGTCTTTTTCGCTAGCTCCGTCGCCGCTTGGGAGCCGCGGTCGCCGGTTCGCGCCCCGCCGTCGTCGCTTTTTTTCGTTTTTTCGCACCGCACGGCACCGCGCCGCACCGCGACGCATCGCATTGCACCACACCTGGGTCTGCGGAATGCGCTTCGGAACATCGCCTCGCACCGGTTCGTGGTGTGCGCTAGCTCCCGCACCGTGTGGGAGGAAGCGGTCACCGGCTCGATCCCGGCGCCCGCGCGTGTTTTGTTTTTTTCCGTTCGGGACCGTGCACCGCACCGCACCGCACCGCGCCGCGGCCGCACCGTGCCACGATTGAGCGCGCAAATCACAAAACATTGGCCGCACTGTACCGTACAATTTGACGCGTTGCGCTTCGCGCAATTCAACGTGCAGCCCACCGCACAACTCACACCCCCCATCTTCATTTGGATCGCCGCCCCGGCTACCCACTGTGTGTATGAACTCAACATGCAATTAAACCTGCAATTAAGCGCATTGAATTGTTTTTTTTCGTTTTTTCGTTTCGTCGCTTTTTTCCGTTTTTTCGCACCGCACGGCACCGCGCCGCACCGCGACGCATCGCATTGCACCACACCTGGGTCTGCGGAATGCGCTTCGGAACATCGCCTCGCACCGGTTCGTGGTGTGCGCTAGCTCCCGCACCGTGTGGGAGGAAGCGGTCACCGGCTCGATCCCGGCGCCCGCGCGTGTTTTGTTTTTTTCCGTTCGGGACCGTGCACCGCACCGCACCGCACCGCGCCGCGGCCGCACCGTGGTGCCACGATTGAGCGCGCAAATCACAAAACATTGGCCGCACTGTACCGTACAATTTGACGCGTTGCGCTTCGCGCAATTCAACGTGCAGCCCACCGCACAACTCAACATGCAATTAAACCTGCAATTAAGCGCATTGAATTGTTTTTTTTCGTTTTTTCGTTTCGTCGCTTTTTTTCGTTTTTTCGCACCGCACGGCACCGCGCCGCACCGCGACGCATCGCATTGCACCACACTGGGTCTGCGGAATGCGCTTCGGAGCATCGCCACGCACCGGTTCGTGGTGTGTGCCAGCTCCGACACCGTGTGGGAGGTAGCGGTCACCGGCTCGATCCCGGCGCCCGCGCGTGTTTTTTTTCCGTTCGGGACCGTGCACCGCACCGCACCGCACCGCGCCGCGGCCGCACCGTGCCACGATTGAACGCGCAAATCACAAAACATTGGCCGCACTGTACCGTACAATTTGACGCGTTGCGCTTCGCGCAATTCAACGTACAGCCCACCGCACAACTCAACATGCAATTAAACCTGCAATTAAGCGCATTGAATTGCAATTCAACGCAATTCAACGCGTACTTCAGCGATGTGTATGAAACGCGACGAACTGCACATCAGCGGTTGTCCAAGTTTGTCCGCGTGGGCTGTACGGCATTTTGTGAAGCTGTTTTTATCACAGACGTCGGCTCGCTGCTATGCACCGCGTGTATACGCATACAGTTTGTTTTTTTTTATATACGATACAGAGGCTGAGCGGGTATTGCATAAAAGCCGGCGGTTGTATAATACTCGCGCCGCCAACCTAAGCTGCACTGTATTTCGTGAAGCTGGTTTCTTTACGTGCGCCGCCTCGCTACACGTCTCTCATATATGTACGTACGGTATTGCGGCTAAAGACGGAGTAGCTGCATTATAGCTGATTTATAGCTATGTCTGGCGACCCAAACGAGTCACCCCAGCGGCCTGGGATTCATGGTCGTGTGCGCTTGGGTACGCTCGCCGGGGGGTTTCATTTTAGAGGAACAAGTACCTCAGGCACGCAGTTCAACACGAATGGTCCACGAATGCGGAATACTCGTCTAGATCCGGAACGCAGGGCTGCAGAGCAGCGGCGGGACGCGGCTGCACGAGCTGCTGCACGTGAAGAGCCAGAGTACAGAGCTGCGGAGCAGCGGCGTAACACCGCTGCACGAGCTGCTGCACGTGAAGAGCCAGAGTACAGAGCTGCGGAGCAGCGACGTAACACCGCTGCACGAGCTGCTGCCCGTGAAGAGCCGGAATACAGGGCCACGGAGCAACGGTGTAACACCACTGCACGAGCTGCGGCCCGTGAAGAGCCGGAATACAGGGCCGCGGAGCAACGGCGTGACACTGCTGCACGAGCTGCTGCACGTCAAGATCCGGCATATAGGATTGCGGAACAGCAGCGTAATACCAGTACACACACACAGGCCCGTGCTCGAGCGAACACCATACAGCTTTCACAAGCCAGCTTGGTTGAGCGTTTGCGGGACCTCATGCGGTTTCCCTGCTTGCACGAGGGCCAGCACCCTCGGCCGCCTGATTTTCTGGAGGCCATTCCGGAAGGGCGCGTGCAGGATTTGCCCGACGGTGAACTCCCGGTGGATCGGCAGGTACCATACGAAAAACATCTGCATCTTGCGAGCAGTATGGCCGCCGCGTTGCGTCGACGCATGCCTTCACGGGTGTGTGCCGTCTGCTCTGAACAGTGCTCAGAGGACCAGTCGGCGCTTCATGCTTGGGTGGACATCCCCAACGTTGATATCCTACGTCCTGACATCATGTGCACTGCCGCTGTGCCGCGTCATGCGCGTACCCTGGCTTGGCGGCGCATGCCCTGCACCGCCCAAGGTGCTGCACCACCACCGCCGGATCCGGTTTTACCAGCACGGTATCGTATCAGCAGATCCGAGCGTGGCAGTAGTGCTGGCGCCGGCGCTGACGCAGATCCAGCGGCATTCGTGGATGAAGATGCGTTGGCGGTTGACAGTGATGGTGCAGGTCATGGGGCTAATGAGCCGGATTCACCGGCAGGTACTGCAGAGGACACAGCCCCGGTGCAGGTGCCACCCGAATTGCAGCCATACCCACCACGGGTGCAGCCACGACCTTGCCTTGAGGATCCATGGAGTGTGGAGGTGCCATTCTGCATGCGCCTTGATGCGGACTTGCCAAACCGGACCATGTTCCGTGACGATGCTGGCCCTGACCGATTCACTATCTGCACCTCTTGCGAGAAGGCACTGACGGGTGAGCAACTCCTTTGGCCCGTCTACATGTGCTGTCCTTTTTCCGTTTGCTCATGCTGTTGTGCACCTTTGATCCGTCGGGCCGCCTGATTTGTATGGGCGAGATGCCCCATCTGGGTCATACACGTTGTCATTAAACCCTGCCTAACCGCTGCCCACCTGTCGCCACTCTCATTGCAGCACGCCGAGTGCCTGAAGCGGCTCTGGCGCGAATCGATCCAGGCGACGTGCCGTCTACAAATCACCTGGGCGACCCTTTGCCTGCACCCACGTTTGTGGAGAGTCAGCTGTTGGGCCGGGGCCGTCTCATGCAGCAGCTAATGATTGTGCATCTCGCGGGCCGCCCCCCCGAGGTGTTGCCGTGTGCCGTTCAGTCGCATGGCATCGCAGTCGTAAACCCCGACCCCAATATGCTACGGGGCCAGCTGCCCGCACGTGTTGCGGATTTGGCAGGCGCCTTCACGGTGGTGTGCGTGGATCAAGTCCGAGACCGACAGGACTTGCTGGATCGTGTCCGCCGTGCACCAGGCCTGAAAGTTCGAGGCAACGTCATCGTCGCCTGGGTGCGTTTCCTTCAGCATAATGACGAGGATGAAGGTGCGGTGGACGAAGAAGCTCTACAGGAGTATGAGCGTATGGGATGTGTTGCGCGAGTACCAGAGGCACTGCTGCACTCCGCAATCGGTCCTACGGATCCAGAAGTCGCTGGTGTACTGCGGAGTACGTTCCTGCACGACCGTACCGGCGCTGCTGGTGTACGACAGCTGCAGGAGACGTTGCAAGGAAACGTCGCTGGTGAGATCATTCAGGGTGGTGGCGCTTATGGATCACCGCTTCATACAGGTGCGACTTTTCACGGGGTAAATCAACGGGGTTCACAGACGGATGCAAAACTGTATTGCGCTGTATGGCTGTAATGTGTCAGAAGTAGGCTGGGCAGGGAGGGTATGTGCATGGGATGTGCCTGGCATGCGCCTTGATGGTAACATTTATCTGGTAGTGCTGGGTTGACTAGGTGTGCGTGGTGCAGGTGGCGAGCCGGCACCTCCATACAGGTGTATGTTCCTCTGCCCCTGCATTTTCGCATCCTGATGTTGTTGGAGTGCTTGCGCTGTGTGGCTGTTATGTGTCAGAAGTAGGCTGGGCACGGAGGGTGTATAGCCTACATGCGTTCCTTTCCAACTGACGGAATTATTTCCACCTGCTTCACGCACATCCTTCCAACATTGCTATTTCTGTGCTCCTACATCTGTTATAGGTCCCGACGGGCCCATGGCCGGAACAATTGCCTCTGACACTCGTATGGCAGGTATGTATGTGATGGATACGGTACGAGCTGTCCAACCTGGTGGGCTGGTATGTGCACGACTGTTTCTCTGCACCCGTTACGCTGTCGTATTGTACAGCCTGTATGTACCTGCGGGTTTGCACATGCTACGACTGCTGCTGTATGTGTCGTCCGGACATGTTCGCCCACCTGTCGGATTCCGGACTGTGAACTATTATGTTTCTTACCATCTGTGGTGTATGCACAACCGTGCCTATTTTCCACTATAGATGCTGGTGCTACGGGCTTAGCGCCTGTCGCGGTCGTCGTGCGCCAACCAGCCGATCCTGGTCCTCTCCGGGGTAAGTGAGAATCTGCAAATTATCCTATTAGTCCTATTTGTTCTGTTTGTCCTATTCATCGACTGACTTTGGCACGTCCTGTGCATACGTCACGAGTATCACTCCAGTGCTGCACCATTTGCCCGTCTGGCATGTTAACCTTATGAATATCCGCCCCCTCCACCCAACGCAGCTGATACCGATCTGGGCGTTCCGAATGAACTGGAGGTGGTCCTTCCGCAACCAGCTCCTGTTCCGACGGACGGCAGCGACTTTGATAACCGGCCCAATGTGGTGCATGACCTGCTCACCGGGCGTGCACATCTCGCATTCGCTGCTGGCGGCCGTGGCGCTCAGGTCCTGGATGACCGCCACCCAGCCATCCTTAACGTCTGCTTCCCGGTCTCGTTTCCATATGGTTTGTCCGGACAGCGGCCACCGGGTATGTCGTTCGCCTCATATTGCAGCCACCTTGTACGGCGGGTGCCACGGTCGCAGTTCAGCAGCAACTTGATGCTGCTTGCCCGAATGTATGATATCAGCGTGCGGCAACAAAGCATGGCGCAGGTAGGAGTGGCCCTGCGCATGCGACCACGACTGGGTGGACCAGCAGCACGGGTACCGAGGGATGTGGTACGCACCATGGCGGACATCTTGGCGCTGCCATACCGTCACGCCCAGCGACGGCAGCTGCTGTCGCAGCAGTCGCCTGTGGTGCGTGCCCTCCTGGATGGCGCACGTGCCAGCCTCCTGCGAATCGACCTTACAGATACCTACTACAATGGTGCAAAAGCCATGATGCGTGCGGCTGCCCTCACCATCGGCTGGCCACCATTGTTCTTCAATCTCAACCCGGCGGACATGCACGCTGGCTGCGCTGTTGTAGCCTCTGGTCAGCTTATAGAGTTCGACGACGCCGGTCGTCCGACCCAGATCAGCAGCACGGTGGAAAAGTGGCGCCGTGTCAAAGAAGACCCGCACAGCTGCGCGGCACTGCTCATCGCCACGAAAGAGGTGTTGGTGGAGCAGTTGTTTGGCTTTGCACCTGGAGCAATGCGGCAGACTGACCCTAACTGCTTCTGTGGGGTCGTATTCGAGGTAGTCGTCAAGGTTGAACAGAGCGGGCGATTGGCACTACACTTGCACGGAGTCGCACACCTCGAGTGCTTCGCACTGGACAACCTTCAGGCGTTATTCTGTGGACCCAACTGCCGAGCTCTGGCGCTTGCGTACGCGCTGTGCGAAATGTGGTACCCCTCCCCATACTATGCTCCGACACCGGACAGCGGGACACAGCCTCTGGTCATGGGTATGTCTGATGCGGAAGCGCAGCAGCACGGTCTACCCGTGCCAGCAGTGCAGGCGGACTGCCCACCTGCAGCATACAACTTCGAACGACTGGCGGGGTGTGCAAACGGCGGACTGCCGCCTCCATCACGACATGCCGCCTGCCGTGCCCATCACGCTGCCGTCATACGCAGTACCCTCACCCACAGCCACAGTTCGACGTGCAAGCGGCATGGCTGCCGCGGTACCGATGACAGCTGCGGCATGGCCTTTCCCCGACTCATCCGCACAGCCTTTCAATGGATCGGTACCACCGGCCTATTCTTGCTGCCCCGCCTGGCACCCAACCTCGTGCCACACATGCCTGCCATTGCCCTCGCCTTCGGCTGCAATCATTTGATGTCCCTGGCCTGCGAAGTCGACCGGGAGTACACAGCTGACATCGCTGCCCAACTAGCGCGTCCTCCCAACGAACACGGTGACTGCTCCCTCCTACAGCCCGCCATCGACCGCGCCCGTGATGCCGCGTACTACAGCTCTAAGTACACTGCAAAGACGATTGAACGCAGCCAGGCGCACCTCACATGTGCCGCCGTGGGCCGTGTACAGGACTTCATGATGGCAGGTCACCAACCCAGCGCCACCGGTGATGGACCCAGCACGTTCGGCAACCTGTGTACCGTGGTGCACCGCATGACGGCCACTATCACGGCTGGCATGGCACTGGTCGCCTTCAAACTGTCAGGCCACGATACGTTCCAAGCAACCTACAAACGCAACTACCTACCGATAGGTGCCTTCACTGCACTGGCGTCCGAATCCGCCGTAGAACCAGAAGACGCGGAAACTGGTGTGGAGCTTGTAGAGGCGGACGAGCATGGCGACTACACCCTCACCAGCGTCGTACAGAACTACACGCAGCGTGGAGTGGAGCTGAGCGGCTTGGACTGCAGCGCCTACAGCATCGCATCCAACTTCGAGGTGAAACGTATAACGCCCGCGCAGCACCCCCATGCTGCCATCCTCAGTGCCCAAGTCCTCCCTGTACCTGGCCGCCGCAAGCGCAAAGCCCCTGGCGCCGCTATGACCCCTCCTACTGACGCACCTCCCACCCCATCTGGCACCCAGCCCACCGCCGCTATGGCGTCCCCCGCGCCAGCTGGCCCATCTGCAGAACAGCTGCCCACGAGCCTGATGTCGACCATACCTCCCAAGAATGTGGCCTTCCAACCAACGCACCCGCTGTATCTGACACACGTTCTTCATCGCCTGGCGCAGCCGAGGTACGTTCTGCTGGGCGGCGCGCTGCCCCGCCGCCCGCAAGAAGGCAGCACCACCGCAGCCGCCGTCGCCTACTACGCATTTGTCTTAGGCATCTTCAAGGCTCACCGCGGCCAACCGGTGGCTGCCGATCAGACGGTGAAAGAGGCGTATGATGCATGGTGGATGGACCTGGGATCCACCGAGGCAGGCCGATCGTACAGAGCCTGTGTGAGTGTCCTCCTAGACAACATCGAAGCAGAGCACCTCGCCAGCGCCCGGCGCCAGGCCGACTACAACTTGCGACGCCGCCAGCGCCGCGTCGCTGCTGCAACTGCCGGTCTCGCCCCGGACAACAGTTCCAGCGACCCGGATGATGACGACCCGGAAGCTGCACGAGGCCGCCTCGAACCTGACCCCGCCACACAGCCGCCGCAAGATGATCAGGTCGAACGGTACGACTTTGTACCAGGCCAAGGCGACCCGACGCTAGGAATCAACCTGTCCGATGTCGCCCTGACGGACCTGTACGACCGCACCACAGTGGAGGGCCTGTACGCATACGGTGCAGCTCGGTGTTGCCGTGTACTTCCTCTTCCCAATGTGCTCGGCGCCAACACCAACCCCTTCATCCGCCGTGTACGCACCACTGACATCCCGCTGCTGAGCGAGGCTTCCAAGCGCCTGAAGCACTACCTAGTCGTCTCCGAAGGCACCGCCACCATGCCAACCACAACGGACCGCACCCCCCGTCTTCGTTTGGATCGCCGCCCCGGCTACCCACTCGTAGCGGTCATCATGACCGACGCCCAGCAGACCAACCATATCACAGCGGGAATGCCAACTTACCTACGTCTACCACAGCCACCGACCATCGACGACACCATCGAGCTCTTTACCCTGGCGCCGGATCAGGCCGTACCATTCATGCTCATGGCACGTTATTTCGACCGCCGCAACGAACCTGATCCAGGCGTCCCGCCGCAGATGCTCATCATGGGTCCTCCGGGCACGGGCAAGACTCAGTTCGTACACGCTCTACTGTGGTACACGTATCAGCATGACAGTCCCGACTGGGCCGCCACATGTGCATACTCCTGGGCTGCCGCGATCGCCTTCAACACCCCAGTACACCGCAGCCTATCGACCCACTCGATGTTCGGCATCTCAGCCAGTCAAAGCGGCTCCCGTGGCGCCAACCTTCCCAAGCGCGGCGCCCACGCCGGCCTTCAGGTCAAGCGCAACGTCGGTGCTGGGGCCGTCCTCATCGACGAAATTGGCATGCAAAGCCACGAGCACCTCGGCGCCATCAGCCACTCCTGTACAGCCAATGTGCCGCCTCCACCACACCTTGGACCCGCCCATCCCAGCAGCCGTGTCTTGTCCGGTCGCGTTGCTGGCGGAATCGGCGACCTGCTGCAGCATCCTCAGCCAGGCGGGTCGCCGCCATACCGCTACGCCGCCAACATCGAACAAAACCCCCAGTTCAGTCCCTCGGCACCGTCAGCACAGTGCCGGCCGGCCTCGGTTGACGAACGTGGAGGTGACCATGCTGACGGCAGCAACAATGACGGCAGTGATGCTGATGACGACACCGGCAACCGTCGCGCCACCACCTCCACACGTCGCACTCGTCGCCCCGTGCCACAAACGCACACCCGCCTACACGACGGCTTCAACCTGTACCGTCAGCTCGGCGGCACCGTATTCATGCTGCAGAAACAGCAGCGGCAAGACAACAGCCCATCTGGCCAGCAGCTTACCCGCTTCGCAACCATGTTCGGCGGCATTCAACCCACTGAAGCACGTGTTGCAGATCTAGTAGACGCACTCAACCAACGCGTCATCACGGATTTGTCCGATCTCACAGACCTCGAACCCCGTGTCGTGCTGCAACGGAACGAACCCAGGCACGCGCTCAACACACGCCTCCTGATGCTCCAGGCGCGCCGTAAAGGAGCGCGTTTGGTCAGCTGGAACGCGGACCACGTCCCGGTTAGGCAACATGGCGCAACCCAACAACAGCCACTCTCCCACGTCGAAAAGGCTGTTGCAATGCGAGTAAAAGACGCCACCTTCGACCACACCACCGCCGACACTTGGTACTACGAGGGTGCACGCTACACCCTACTCGACACCACTGCTGCCGACGCCGGCGCGTGCCACAACAATGAAGTCGAGGCATGTGGCCTGCTTACCGACAGCCGTGAACCGCCCGACGACGGCTGCGGTCCGTACTGGCGCCTCCACTACCTACCTGCAGCTGTCTTGGTCCGTCCCATTAAAGGGCACGCGCCCAAAGCGGTGCTAGCAGACTTAGCGGACTTTGCAACCAAAGGTGCTGCCTTCGCCATCGTACCACGGCCCTCGCCGGCAGCAAACATCACCGTGCCAGCCGCCAACACCGGCACCACCACCAAAAATGTACGTCGAGTCAATGTACCGCTTGGTGACTACTACGCCGTGACCGACTACTTCGTACAGGGCCGTAGCTTCAAGGAAGAATGCTGGGTCGCGGACCTTTCCGTCCCGCCCGGTGGCCTCAAGCGTGCAACCATGTACGTGTTGCTCACCCGCTACAAGACACTCGACCACATCCGCCTCCTGCGCCCGCTCTCTACCACACCCGACGAACGAACACGAGTCGTCAAACAGTTCATGGCAGCAACCAAGCTGGACCCCGACCTGGCGGCCGAACTCCGCCTCCTGGATCGCCGTGCAACCGAAACCCGTGAACGCTATACGACCGAGTACAAACACGCCCGAAACCTAGAGGAGCGTTGGACCTCCGCAGCCAACACCACCTGACACGTCCAACAGGAATTTCGTCTGCCTCGCCACTGGATGGCGTTAAATGCCAGCGTTGCACGGCTCTCTAGCCGTCTGACGACACGCCCGCACGACTGGGTGCATCCCTTGCACTTGTGGGTTCGACTCCCACACGGGTGTAGTAGTATACGCACGGACCGTCGTACTCGTGCCGCCCAGCCGGGGGACTACGGCCCCCTCGCGGGCGAAGCAGCCCGCGTCTAGTTGTCCGGTTGTCTGTCCGGAGCGTTTTTGGAAATTTCGGGTCGGGAGCGTGCCGTACGCGCTTAAGACAGCGCCGTAAAGATCGGAAGGTCGCCGGTTCGATCCGTACCGCGATTATGTTTTATGTTTCATATATGTGCATATATGCATATATGTATATGCGATATGCGATATGCATGCAATTTGCGATATGCGATATGCGGTATGTGATATGCGATATGCCATATGCAGCGATATGGGATATGCGATATGCAATATGCAATATGCGATATGCAATATGCAATATGCGATATGCGATATGCAATATGCGATATGCAATATACGATATGCGATATGTTATACATATGCGCATGCATCTGCATTATGCAAGCATACACAGTCTGCAAGCATGTGCCATATGCGATCTGCAAACATATGCGATCTGCAAGCATATGCCATATGCGATCTGCAAGCATGTGCCAAATGCAAGCATCTGCCAAATGCAAGCATTTGCGATCTGCAAGCATATGCGATATGCAAGCATATGCGATATGCGATCTGCAAGCATATGCGTTATGCGGTCTGCAAGCATAGGCGATCTGCAATCTGCAAGCATGTGCGATATGCTATGCTATGCTATGCTACGCTATGCTACGCTATGCTGCGCTATGCTGCGCTATGCTATGCTATGCTATGCTGCGCTATGCTATGATATGCTATGCTATGCTGTGCTGTGTTATGCTATGCTGCGCTATGCTATGCTATGCTATGCTGCGCTATGTTATGCTATGCTATGCTATGCTGCGCTATGCTATGCTATGCTATGCTATGCTGCGCTATGCTATGCTATGCTATGCTATGCTATGCTGTGCTGTGATCTATAAGCATATGCGATCTGCAATATGCCATATGCAGCGATATGGGATATGCAATATGCGATATGCAATATGCGATATGCGATATGCAATATGCAATATGCGATATGCAATATGCAATATGCGATATGCAATATGCAATATGCGATATGCAATATGCAATATGCGATATGCAATATGCAATAGGCGATATGCGATATGCAATATGCAATATGCGATATGCGATATGCAATATGCAATATGCGATATGCAATATGCAATAGGCGATATGCGATATGCAATATGTTACAATATGCGATATGCAATATGCAATATGCAGATATGCGATATGCCATATGCGATATGCAATATGCGATATGCAATATGTTATAATATGCGATATCTGCAATATGCAAGTATACACAGTATGCGATATGCCATATGCGATATGCAATACATATGCGATATGCTAAGCATATGCGCATATGCGATCTGCAAGTTGTGCCAGATGCAAGCATCTGCCAAATGCAAGCATTTGCGATCTGCAAGCATATGCGATATGCAAGCATATGCGATATGCGATCTGCAAGCATATGCCTTATGCGGTCTGCAAGCATAGGCGATCTGCAATCTGCAAGCATGTGCGATATGCTATGCTATGCTATGCTACGCTATGCTACGCTATGCTGCGCTATGCTGCGCTATGCTGCGCTATGCTATGCTATGCTGCTGCGTATGCTATGATATGCTATGCTATGCTGTGCTGTGTTATGCTATGCTGCGCTATGCTATGCTATGCTATGCTGCGCTATGTTATGCTATGCTATGCTATGCTGCGCTATGCTATGCTATGCTATGCTATGCTATGCTATGCTATGCTATGCTGCGCTATGCTATGCTATGCTATGCTATGCTGTGCTGTGATCTATAAGCATATGCGATCGCAATATGCCATATGC